GTCAAAATTTGGTCTTTTTGGTAATGTCCATGAGTTATTTTGGGTAAAGAATCAAGGTATTTTATTTTGGGGTTTGAGACAGAATAAGAAAGGTCTAATCTTGCCATATGTCAAAAATCTATAATTCTTGAAGAATTAAAAGAATCCTTAATTCATTTAATATTCAAAGAACTAAAGATTAAAATTTGTTCAATTGCTCCACCTTAGAAAGTAGCATAAATTCAATTGTTTAAAAGATTAAGCAAACATTAAAGATCAAAGGCGTGTTCAAACAAAACAATCCTTTAAGTGCAAATGATATATGCAATGTCTCATTCTTTGACTGTCTATGCCCCTGAATCCATCAGGTTTTGGATCTCGCGCTTCAGCGCCTTATAGTTCTCAGAGAAATGTATGGAGCATCCTATGTGGCAACTACAAACAACTTCAACATCGTAGCTCTTAGGATATGTGGAATCTTTTCTCAGATCATCTTGGCAGACCTAGTTGTACAACCAGCTGATCGGGCTCATTCGTTGTGATTTCAGTTTTTCTTTTGATATTACAATCTTGCTTCCATGTGGTGTCATGTGGTTAAAGCCACTTCATCGAATTCTCCATGAAGAAATTTCTAGTTTATGAAAATGCTTAAAAAATGAAATGTAGATGCAAAATGCAAAATTGCATGAAATGTTCGAGGCATTGGTCCAAAAACATGTCTGTTATTATAAATCATCTTTATTGGGACAAAAATGTTTTATCTTCTAAGAGACAATAAACATATTTAAAGGTACATCCAGACTAAATCCTCTAGACCCTAAAACAAGTTGACTAGTCTTCTACCTTCGTCTGTCACCAGTCGAATACCCTGCCGAACCGCTCCGGCTTCTCTGGCTAAATCGTGCAAGTGACGAGCTGTTTTTTGTACTTGTTCCTAGAAGTATCAAATGACTGCATCTATGGCTTTCATTCTTTGCTGAACCTGTTCTATAACGGAAACATAATTGAAATCCTCCATCAAATGGATTATCTGAAGTTCATTGAATTTGTCGACAATGGCTTCCAATTCAGCTATCATTTTGTCATCTTTTTCTTGTTGTCTTTGAAGGGACTCTCGAGGTCAGTACCATTTTTCTCGTCTTGCCTCTGCCACCTTTGTTAACCCATTTTTGAAAAGTTGACTTTTGATCTATTTGATTGTGGGCACTGTGTCTTCTTGATCAAATGTGACACATAGTTGTCTTCCAGATTATCCTCATTTTCTTTTTGAGTCTTTTCTGACCATAGCCGGACCCCTACGTTTTTTTACCTCTTGTATTACAACCCCTTTGTCCATTAATGCAGATCATTCATGTTTTAACAAACACATTTTTGGTGGATCAACACCTCTTTTAAATGATGCAAATGATGAAAACAAAATAAAAGAGAACAAAAGTAAAATAGAGTTAGTGAGGTAAATCAAAAATAATAAAAACGAAAAATCCTACCCCACATGCTTTAATTCCTACCCGGACATGATCTCTATCCCGCATGCTAATTCCACATAAATCCTAACCACATATTTGTCTAGTTCGTATGCTTTGAACAGAAAGTAAAGCATGAAACAAAACAACCTAGGGCTTGGAATGAGATTTTGGGGTGGGCTCTAATTCTCCATAGTCTCCCGGTTTAAGTTCTAAAAAATGGTACCCGAGTTCTCCTTGCCGGTGCCCCCTAGGCTTGCCAGACCCTTAGTCCTAAACTCATCACAGGCTTGTGTGGACTAAGTTAAACTCAAGAGGACACATTCCCTTATGCCCATACGAAGAATAAATTCACACGAAGGCATAAGGTATATAAATCCCGAAGGTTACTTACTAGGCCCATACGGTGAATAAATTCACATGAAGGCGTCGCTTTCACCCCCACTTTAAAACGGGTTCAGAGCTTGGGTTTTAGAGCCTTAAGTGAAAAACGAGTTTGGAATGCTGAAATCATTAGAAAACGGTTAGTACAACTATTTACTCAAAAATATAATCAAAAGTAAGTAATAAGGATCAAATGTTACCTTAAAATTTAAACTTACCCTTTTCGTTAAAAAGACAACTGAAAATTACCTTAGCCTGACTCACTTACATGTCCCCAAGCTGTTGTAATCATCTTTCGGTTGGGACCCGAATTAGGCTTCAACTTGAAATAATTGGGTTGGGAGTCGCCACCGACCACTTTAAAACGAATTTAGGTGAGTCGGGCACCATCTTACCTAATCTGCATTTTTACCAGAAATGTGTCAGGTTCGGGAGTCGGTTATGGTCAAGGAAGGATTAACACCCTTGAACCGCCCTTTCGGTACCAATTAATTTGCCGGTTGTCTTAAATTAAGAAAATTGTAATTTAAAATTAAAAGGTAAAAATACGATCACAATTACTTACCTTAGATAGTTTTAAAGGTGTGGCCTTAAGAAGGTCAAAAACCATGTTAGATAAAAAGGTAAGAAATAAATAAATTAATTAAATTAAAATGAAGAAAAAACAAATTAAATAAAAGATAAGATAAAAAAAGTAAAGATAAAATAGTAAGTAAAATAAATAAAAAAAATAAAGAAAAAGAAGAAAAATAATATATATAAATAAAACAAATAAATAAAATAATAATAAAAAAGTAAAAATAATATATATATATATATATAATAAATAAAAAATAAATAAAAATATTATATATATATATATAAATTAATAAAACTGATAATAAAAAAATAATATATATATATATAATCTAAAATATATATATATACTAAAGTAAAAAAGAAAATGCTTAAAATGTAAAAAAATATTACATGAAAAAAAAAGAAAAATAACAAAACAATTAAATAAAATGAGTAACAAGGGAAATGTGCGTATAAATAAAGTTAAATAAATAAAATAATAATAATTAAAACATAAATGTAAGAGATCGAATCAAAAGTAAAAAAGTTGATAACTTTTGTTTCCTTTTCAAATCGTTTACAATAGGTTTGCCTTTTTATTTTCCGTGTTTTCCTCTGTATTTTGTATGTAAATCGTGTGTTACAAATGGGGAGGATTACATGTATTTATAGTGAAAAAAACTAACTATTTTTTAGAATCCTATTAACAATAGAATCCTAATGCAACTAGACTCCTTGCTCGGTTGTTGCACGTTTGCTGGTGTGGTTGTTGCTTTAAAAGATATGGTGGTGGAAGAGTCCTCCTAGGATAGAAACTCTTACTAGTTCTATCTTTTAAGAAAATGGGTGTCTACACTCATGTAGTGAATGCATGTAGTACAATACAATTATTAGTGTGGAATTGACCTCGTAAGCTTAATGTTCGGAATGTGCTTTCATACATAAGTTCGTAGGAGACCGTTTGTGGAACGTTATCGCCATAAGATAATCTAGATCAGTCGAGGCTTCAAAGTACATCTTGATTTTTATTATAAGCATGTACTATTCATAGACCCCTTTGTATTCAATCATAACTCTATTTTGTTGTAAACAATATTATTATTGGATTGTATTTTGGGAGCTCATCGTATTTGTAAACTTTTTTATTATTACATTTTCATTTCATATTACTTGGATGGTTTTTATATGATGTTTTACAATTGTTTTAAAAGAAAACTTTTGGGTAAGCCACCTCAGTAGTCCCATGTGACACTTTAATCCTTCGATCTTCGGGTCGGACTGGATTAAGGTGTTACAACTTAAATAAACACTTTGGGTATCAAAAATCCTATTTAGGGACTAAAAATCATGTATATTAATTATATGGTTCAATTACAAAAATTCACATTCGATATGAAATAAACTGTAATTATTTTCAAATTACATACTCACTATAGCAAAACTGTTCTATAGCGGCGTTTACAATCCAAGCGCCACAAAATGGTAACTTTAGCAGCGTTTGTATATAAAATGTCGGGGCAGAGTTGTACTTTAGCGGCGTTTATATAAAAACGCCGCAATTAGGTTCATTTATAGTGGCGTTTATTCAACAAACGCCTTGAAAAAATAGTACTTTAGGGGCGTTTTTATACAAATACCGTAATAGGGTTCATCTATAGTGTCATTTTTCAACAAACACCGCAAAAGAGTAGTACTTTAGTGGCGTTTTTATACAAACATCGTAACAAAATAGTACTTTAGTGGCGTTTTTATATAAACACCACAATAGGATTAATCTATAGTGACGTTTTTCAACAAACACCGCTAAACACGAGTAATTTAGTAGTGTTTATATAAAAAATGTTGCGATAGCACGATATATAGTGGCATTTGTGTAAAAATCGCCGCTATATTAGAAACCCTCCCATCATGGGTTTAACTCTCACAGTTCAAAGCTTTCTCTTTGTCTCTTCCATTTTAGGTTTTTTGAATGGAAGGAGCGATTGCCAACTTCAAATCTGTTGTAAAAAAGAGCGGAAGCAGCGCAAATTTTCGAAAATTTCAAACCCGTAAAGCTTGCTCATTTCCCACCATTTATTGCTCATTTCCCTATTCTTTCTCATCTTGAAAATACCCTAGAACCTAAAGTTTTGATCTTTGTTGGTTGGAACTTCTTTCCTTCTCCTTCTTCTTTAACTAAGTTCGGGATTCAACTTTGTTTCTGCTTCATAGAAATTGATGAATACGAGGCTGGTATTTGTTTCTCCTCTTCTTAGATCTGTTGTATTTCTTTCATTTTTACATAATTTTATAATAATGTTAGAAGCATGCATATTTCCTTTATTTGTTAGCTACCTCAGATCCGAATCTAAAACATCTAGTCGAATTTCTAATATTCCTTTTCTTATTGCAAAGAAACTGATTCTAGCTGTATTTATTTTTGTTTGTTTCAGTTAGAGTGTAGTTACTGAACAATCGAGTATGGAAAACATGGCCGAGGTGCAGCAAATAATGCGGTATTTTTCCCCCTTCAAGGATTCAGTTTCCTTGAGATTTCAAGGTTTTACTGTTATTGATATGTCCATATTACAATTCTATCTTTATCAATCTTTTCAGAATCACCCAAATGAAACCTCAAAAAATGTGTTCGATTTTGGGGCATTTGTTGGAGACTTGATTGTTGAATAAGATGCCAGCATGTTCTTTTTAGGGTTTTAATTTCTTAGAACTCTTAAATATGAAAACAAAATGACTTCTTTATTTTTAGGGTGATTGAGATTTTAAGTTTTGTTTGTTTGTAGTGATGATATATCGCTGGAGGGGCTTCAACGAGAATTGGAAGAATGCAAAGATGATGATGTGAGTAATTTTTTATTATTTGCTTTTATGAGTATTATTTTTAGGTTGTCAGTATACCAAACATCTAATGATTCAAAAGGAAAATTTTTGTTTCTCAAGCTTTAGAGGCTTATATGGTTTTACCCTCACATATATGATGTAGGTGGTTGCAAACATAATGTCTAAAGGTGTAAAACTAAGGGAGTATACAAAGGGGTTGAGAACAACCTGCGAAAAGTTGAGTTGGATTCAATTCAGGTTTGTAATTACTTAAAAGTTACCCCACTGCACCCATTGAATATGGTAATTTGTTACTAGAGCACGCTAATTCTTGGATTGTACATTTACTACTTTTTTTTTTTTTTTTGCTGAGCCATTCTTATAATATGCAACAAAGTAGCGGTAATTAGCAGTTTAGCTCATATTCTTTTCTTTGGAGGCTACTTGTTTATAATGTTACATGGTTCCTATTTTGCCAAGCCATTTGTTAAAGTTCAGAAATAATCTTTGCATAAACGCTCTTATTATCAACTATCTTATTTTACTTCTGTTTTGTGTGAACTGTCACTGTTATATCATGGATAAGAAGCAAAATGATGCTGTCAGAGTGTTTCTTTAAAAGTTTTATCATGGTTGAACACATATTTTAAGGACACATCTATGCCTTTGGAGAAGCAAAACCAATTAGCCAATGTCTTTGGCATTAAATTTTATCCCCAAAATTTTTCCAAGGAAGTTGTACAGTGTCTATCTGTTTATAACTGTCAGCAGAATGGAACTTTGGGAGGGAAAGATCCCAATTCATATGGTGTGGTGGAAAATGATGTGAGCTCTGTAAATATAGAAGGTCCAGATTATGGTCTTTGTCCATCTAATGGATCCCTTTTGTGTGTATGTTATTCTGTATCTTTGGTGAAAAAAGGTGAACTTCAGAAAGAGCTTCTTGAAAGTATTGAGGAGTTTGAGTTTGAGATGGGAGTAATTCCCGGTCTTGAAGCTGTTGTCTCTCAGATGTCTGTTGGCCAGTCTGCCAGTTTCTATACAGAGTTGCCTCCTGAAGATTTGGTTTTGGCTGCAGCTAAGGATTCGAAAAATGCTCTTGCATTCTTATCTTCACGTGAGTAAACACATTTTTAAATACTAAATAATAGTTGATAAATTTCCTTGTCTTGACTAGGAATGTGGACTGCCTGCAATGTTTTGGTAGTGTCTAAATCTTTGAATGAACGTATCTCTTAGATTAAAGAAATTGTGGTCAGCAGGGGAAGTGTAATATATTTTGCACAGGAAACACTTTTCTATGCTAATGTCAGTTAATATGCACTTCATTAATTTCAATTGTATATACAATTTTGCAACTATATGTTTAATGTATATTTACTCGAAGTATTCATGTGGGCAACAAATATTAGTAACAATAGATGGAGCTTATTTTATTCTCGTAGCATTTTTCTTTAAATTGTTTGAGAGATTTAATTGGTTGTGCGTGGTTTTCTTTGCATTAGCTTGCTGTTTGGTGTACTATATCATCTTGTTGCAAGTGACAGAACCCCCAGAAGACAGAATGGAACAGACACTTTTCAGCCCACCACTTTCAAAGCAACGTGTAGAATATGCAGTGCAACAGATTAAAGAATCTTGTGTTACTTCTTTGGTATTTGTCTTGTTTCCTCATTTTTGTTAGCGTTGATAATAAACAAGCTCAGCATGAGATCATGCTATATTCTGTTGTAGGTTGATTTTGGATGTGGCTCTGGTAGTTTACTGGAGTCTTTGTTGGAGTATCCAACTTCTTTGAAAACAATTGCCGGAGTTGATATTTCACAGAAGAGCCTTAGTCATGCAGCAAAGGTGTGTTCTAGCGTATTTTGGGTTTATATACGGCCAAATGAATTTGAGTAGACCAATTTTGAGCATTATTTGAAAGATATGAATAAAACAAATTGTTGGATAAATGTGTGGATAAGAATTTTAAATCATCTGTCTGCTAAGTATATTTTCACAAGTTAAAGTGTGGTTGTTGAATATCTTTGATATCTTCATTGCACAGGTTCTTCATTCAAAACTAGTCATGAAGTTAGATCCTGATACACCGTGTAGGAGTATAAAATCTGCCATTCTCTATGATGGTACTATCACAGATTTTGATTCTCAGTTGCGTGGATTTGATCTCTGTACATACTTAGAGGTATTTAGAACTAACCTATTTAAAGAACCTTTGCCTTCAAACCATTGATAATTGATCTTACACTTATGTTTTACAACTTTGTAGTCTGTATTCTTTATTAAAAGGCTTAAGCAAAACTATATATGATCAATTCTTCTTCTGGGCCTAGTTTTGGTAATACACTTTCCATTAGACCTGTCACAGGTAGGGGTGTAAACGAGCCGAGTCGAGCTCGAGTATTGCCGAGCTCAACTCGAACTCGAAAACTTTAAATGTAGGTTCAACTCGACTCGAAAACTCGCGAGCCTAAAATTTTCAAGCTCAACTCGAACTCGAAAGATAATATTGAAACTCGACTCGAACTCGAAAAGGCTGTATGAACAAGTTAAATTAGGGTAATATAAAGTATGAACAAAACATATTGAAAATAAATAGCAATAATGAACAATTTACGGGTTCAACGAGGAGCAACTCAATCAAACTTGCCTATGCCAACCTTTTGCAAATAGTGTCGTTTTGTATTACAAACGCCACTAAAAACAACAGCATTAGCGATGTTTGTGGCAAAAAACATCACTAAAACCAATAGCATTAGGGGCGTTTGTGGCAAAAAAATGCCTCTAAAAACAATAGCATTAGCGGCATTTGTGGTAAAATCGCCACTAAAACAAAAAAAATTAGCGATGTTTGTGGAAAAAATGCCACTAAAACCAATAGAATTAGCGGCGTTTGTGATAAAAACGTCACTAAAGACAAGAGAATTAGCGGTGTTTATGGCAAAAATGTCACTAAAGGTAAGAGAATTAGCGGCGTTTTTTGCCATAAACGCCGCTATATAACTAAACCTTTTGATTCGTTTTAGGTTAACAAACGCCGCCATCTTTTACAGTGCTCGTTTTAGCGGCGCTTTTACTAGCATCGGTAGTGTTTTTAGCGGCGTTTAAAAATGCCACTTTAGGACTAAAAAAACGCCGCTAAAAACCTATTTTGCTGTAGTGACTTCGATTTTGACAAGGCTAGAATCCAATCACATATTGTAAAACTAAAAAAGTTTTATACCTTTTTAGGATCGTTGGATGAGGGGAAATCAAAGGCTAAGATTAACAGTAGGAAATGAGAAGATATTCACTGGAAAAAAACAAGAATTTAATCTCAACCTTTGATTTCCCCTCATTCAATGATCCTTTTGAAATCAACCCTTTGGGTATCGAAATCCAACGTCCAGTTTCATAATCCAAAATCATTCTAGAAGTTGGATATCAAAATCGAACCCTTCATTTCAAAACCTAATACCTAAAAATTATAAAATGACCTTTCTTAAACCCTAAACTCCTAATTCATAACTAAATCATCAAATAATCATATTCAATAACATCAAATAATCACCAAACGTGTATTAACTCCTTAACAACAACGACAACAAAAAGCCACAAACAAGAGTTTATACACCTAATTTATCAACTTTGGAATAAATAACATTTGAAGGGTATCACTTTTGTTCAATTTTAGATGTCTCAAATTATAGACATCATATCGTTCATGTTAAGCTTCCAAACTATCACTCATACACTCTAACAGCTATTAGCCAATGTACATATATATATAATTACACAAGGAATTGTTTTTGGAACAAGTGAAACCTATATTAGAACATAGGAGACCGTAAGGGGAGACCCTTCCTAGTTTGCCTTAACCTTGGTTTCTTTAATAATGGCAATCCAATACACATTTCTTCATCTTCATGTTTGAGATAACGCAAGGGTTTACGATTTTTGGTTTCTTTTCTTTGTTCATCTCTGTATATATCTAAAACCTGTCAAATAAAAATATAAAATAATTAGCAAATCTTGTAACATGTTTCAAAAGAAAGAAAATAAAATAAAATTTGTGAGAAATAAAGAACCTTGCATGCAATACTGCAATAAAGTGAAGTATTATCTAGCAAACTTTTGTCACAAATGGAACATTTATAATCCCTTTGATTACTCTGTTGGTGCTGATGATGAGATTGAGTCCTTTGCTTCAAGAATAGCACTTTGGCTTTATTTGTATGATAAGTCTGCAGCCAATTACAATTACTTTTTAGATATATTATCAGTTTAATCTAAACCATATATATTGTGCTTTTAATACGATAAATATTAGTTGAATTAAGGTATGCTTTTATTGATAAATTAATATTATTAGATATTTTTGAAAAAACAAATCTAAAATATTAATAATATATCTACTATGGAAATTGATATTTTATGTTTATTTAACTTTTTCATCTTATTGATACGTCTTAAAAGTTAATAATTAACAAAATTTTAGTACAACTTTTTCAGAACTTAGAATACTTGATAATAGCTATAAAACACGTATGCATAACTGTCTATAAATATATACAAAATATGTTTGTCTATTTATCTATAAATGATAAAATTGCTTAAATAATGATGTGAGAAAGATTTTCTAAGATAAAGCTCCTACAATTTTATTTATTGAAGTATGGCGATTTGTTATAGTATCACACGGGAGCACAATGCGTTTTTAACTTTGTTCGGGAAGACACATGGATCACAATCCGTCTTTTCCATGCACTTACATGACTCCATCTATGTCTCGTTTATGCATGGAAGACACATTGTAATCGTCGCATTTTCCCAAAAAAAATATGAAAACGTACTATGTTTTCACGTCTTTTAAAAGGTATTGTAGCAGTCATGCTACTTCAGTAAATAAATTAGTGGGGACCTTATCTAGGGAATTTTTTTTATTTCCCAAATCATTATTTAAGCGATTTTTTCATCTATAAATATACATACGAAAAATTCTTAAAAAAATTATATAAAATTTATTTTATTTTTTTATAATAAGATCAATAAAATTAATTATATTTTAAAATTTTATTTCACAAAAATATCTAAAACGGAATCAAGATAAAAACTCGAGAGATAAATATAAATCGAAATAAACTAAGAGTTAAAGTGTGATTAATTTGATGTAAATTTAAAATTAAAGTTTGAGTTTTATTTACTTTATTTAATTTTGAAATTGAAAGGAACCTAA